AGGTATAGGTAGGTATAGGTAGGTATAGGTAGGTATAGGTAGGTATAGGTAGGTATAGCTAGGTATAGGTAGGTATAGGTAGGTATAGGTAGGTATAGGTAGGTATAGGTAGGTATAGGTCGGTATAGGTCGGTATAGGTAGGTATAGGTAGGTATAGGTAGGTATAGGTAGGTATAGGTAGGTATAGGTAGGTATAGGTAGGTATAGGTAGGTATAGGTAGGTAGGTATAGGTAGGTAGGTAAGTCGATTTGGTTGGGTTTGGCCCTCTAATTATTACGTTTGACCCTTTGCTTTTGGGACTCGTAACTGTGCCATACAAAGCCACGACTTGGCAATGACTCAGTAGTCCGGCTCAAGCCCAAACGGGCGCATTGACATTTGGCATTCTGCCGTGTCGCCGTGCGAACAAAAAACCCTAATAATGTTTGAAGAATCATGAAATCACGAGACCATAAAGTAGAACTGCTCCATTCAAGCCACGCCTTGGCAATGATAGGGGCACTTGACCGTTTTGTATTTAGCTTTTGAACCGGACCAGTCTGGAAGGAACTAAACAACGACTCAACCACTTTGATTCGAGCCATGATTTTTGAGGCAGCTTGATTGGGCCAGCTATTTACATGGATTGGAGCCGCCTTGAGCCACAAATACACTTTAAGGGCTTGGGGTATTTAGGGTTTTTCCACACGAATAATCAACAAATCCACGAACCACTGGATTGTCAAGCTTGGGCTTTTATTTGTCTGAGAAGAGCCAAACTAAACAACGACGCAATCACTTGGATTTGAGCTTTAGCTTTGAGCCAAATTGAGCCAAAGTTTTTAAAGGGCTTAGGGTATTATTTAGGGCAATTAGAGTGCCAAGGGTTAGGCTGTAAAGTTTAGGGAAGTCTTAGGGCAGTTTAGGGGTCTGAGGCGTCTGAGGACTGGGGTTTGGGCTGTTTATTTCTCTCTCAGCCTCTTTCTTTCTCTCACACGCACACACACAAACACAAACACACACACACACCATGACAGCCGTCGAAAAGTGACTGAAATTTTCACGGCTTCGCGCAAGCCTGTTGTCGAGTCTTCTTAAAAGACATGCAGCACATGGCCACATGAAGCTGATGAACAGCTGTGCAGCTGCAGAAGCAGCTTTCTGAAGAACCACGGCTTCGCACAAGCCTGTCGTTGTAAAAGCCATGCAGCACATTGCCGCACGAAGCTGATGAACAGCTTTCCCATACAGCTGCAGAAGCAGCTTGAAGAACTGTCGGCCGACATCTTTAGTGGAGCTTGCTATACGATGCTTGTTCTATGTTTGGTAGATATCTGGCCTCTTTAAAAGCAAGGCGGAGCAGAGCCATCAGATCAGCCGGTAGGCCTCGCCCTTCTGCAAGGTGAGATCATTCTTCAAGACATACAAAGGCTTCTTTGGCGAGAGCTCCTTCCAAGAGTGGAATGAGCTGCGGGATACAACAACTTATCATGCTCGCTTGGGAATTTGTGCTACCATTGGGCAGGGGCCATGCTTACATTGCTAGATTCGGTGCTACCTTGCGCAGGGGCCATGCTTGAGCTGGGGCCATGCTTACTTGAGTAGAAAGCTCCTGGTCGTCGTTGTTCCAGGAAACTCTCCAAGCAATCTGGAGAACCTTTTGCTCCACCAATGCCCTGTTGTTGAAGTACGAAGCAAGGCCCGTGAACCGGAGGTCCGTCTTGCCCTTCAGCGAAGCATATTTGAAGATCAGGGGATTGGCTGCATCTGGTGCGATGTCGAAGTTATCAGTGTCACCACCAGAGCCTGCCACAATGATCATTTTAAATTTATCGATCTAGACCTGAACAAACAAAACAAATAAGTTTCTTTGACAAACCAGGCGCCTGAAGGCCTCTCACAGGAGTGCCCGTTCACTGTAAAATCGACCATGCCAGCAGCCTCGAACTCATGGAAGAGCTTGCGTAGGGGCACTGGGTCCGTGTCGCGGAGTCGTCGCGATCCTTCCTGGGGCTTTTAGGTGAATTGGGGTCTCGGGTTCGGGGCTGTTGGAATCACGAGCTGTGGCTGAGGACGACAAGCAACACAATGAAAATCCTACCCCACAAACTTAAACCCTGAACCCCAAGCCAAGCCCCAAAACCCCCAACCTTAAGCCCAAGCCCAAACTCACACAAACCCTGAGCCGCACACCTTAAAAGTCCAAATAAGCCCAATAACCAAAACTCAGAGCTTTCGCAAGCCTTGCAACCCGCAACAATCAAGCCCGCACTCCTCGCTGACTTCCAAAACGACCAACTCTTGGTCCGATTCCCAGCTGCACTGGATGGCTGTGGGCTCTTTGAGGACTCCTGCGGGGGCTGACGGTGAGTTCCGATAATAAGCAACATAATAGAGAGCGGCTGCCTTTGCTGAGGATTGTGGATTGTGGTGAGCTCCGATTCATCATAGCATTTCCCGGCACGATGAAGTGGCTAACTAACTTCATTTGATACATATACACTTACCTACTATTCGGTACATCATCATCTGACACGAGCTAGAAATACTGACTCCGACTTCTTGTTTTTCATTATTATTTCGGCATTATCATTTGGGTTTAGGGATTTTTGTTGTTTTTGTGGTTGTGGAATTCCGATCAGTCATAGGCTGACACGATGACAAGATTGACGACTGGATTTGCTACGAATACTTGGCTAGTTTAGGGTGGGTCGTTGGTTTAGGGGTTGTGCTTTTTGGTTGCGGGGCCTTAATCCTGTCACCCATCGTTTTCACAGCTCCAGCGCTCGCAGCCTCTGTCAGCAGAAGCTATAGTACTGCGATGCCCCCACAATGAATCTTCATCGAATGACACACGCCCGGGAGTCTAATGGAATCATTCCGCGGAATGGCTCCGGCCGGACATGTACAAAAGCCCACAGGTCCTGCTCTGACGACATTTAGACGAAACAAGCTTTAACATTCCTAACTGGGCCCAATCTGATCTTACGCTAGGATCACCTCGCATCACATCACTGCAGGATCTACGCCCAGCGTCGGCGCTTCAGCTGGGTTTCCGTAAGGTTCTCAGCAGCCTTCACACGGGCCGGGTGGGTCTTCCACCTGGGCTGTTTATTGGGGTTACAGTGAAAGTTAGTTTAGTGTTGGGAATCTAAGGTTTGTGGGGTCGGCTGCAGGCATGACAACGAACCCTTCGAAGCCTTTTTGGGGGATTGGTGTGCAGTTGGAAGCTGCGTTGTTATATTCGGGTTGAACCTTTTATTGAAATTGAAACATCAGCTTTTCCGGGGTTTTCTTGGGGTTTGGGATACGATTATTGGTTCATTGGGTGTGGGACTTCACGGGCTTTAGTGGCCTGAAGCACTCTGATGTCGAGGATACGATTATTGGTTCATTGGGTGTGGGACTTCACGGACATTAGTGGCCTGAAGCACTCGAGCCTATAGGGTTTATTTGCAAACAGGTTCCGAGGTTTTTTGGGGCTTAGTGTCGAGGCTACGATTGTTGGTTCACTGGGTGCGGGACTTCACGGGTTTAAAATGTCTAGTTGGCCTGAAGCACTCGAGCTTAGGGTTTATTTGCAAACAAGAGGCTTCCGGCTGATCTCCTTCATCATGTCCCGGAACGGCATCCCGCTTTTCTTGAGCTCGACCATCTGGGAATCCCGGAACTCCACCCACTGGCGACCCAGGTAGGACTCAAAGAGCGGCTTCTTCCCCTCGCCATCATCGCCCTGCTTTGCTTTGGTCTTGGCTACGGACTTCTTCGCCTTCCCCTTTGGGGCTGCATCGATCGACTCTGCGTCCGCCTGGTTCTTCGCCTGGTTCTTCGCCTGGTTCTTCGCCTGGTTCTTCGCCTGGTTCTTGGCCTGGTTCTTCGCGTGGTCCTTCGCCTGGTTCTTCGCCTGGTTCTTGGCTGGTGGCTTGGAACCGAAGCTTCTCTTGCGCTTGCCCTGCTTGCCCTCGCTGCCAGAAGCCCGCTCAAGCTCGTTCATCTCCTCGTCCTCGTTCACCTCTTCATACTCTTCCAACGCTGCATCGGTCTCGGCGGTCTCCTCAGCCGAGCCGCTTACATCACCATCATCGTCCTTCTTCTCGCTCGCCGCCCCCTTCTTAGCATTCTTTGCATTCTTGGCCTTCGCCTGTGCAAGCTTGCGTCGCTGCTGGGCTGCGCCGGCCTTCTGCTTGCCCAACATGAGGCTCGACACCGCGGCCGCAAGGTCAATAACAGAGGCATCGCTCGTGGCCTTGCGTTCGGCCACCTTGGTGGCCGCCGGCTTGGCCTGCTCAAGAAAAAACTATGAATCTGGAATGAGGGCTCGTAGCCTTTTAAAGAACCCACTGTAACTCTATGATGAGATTATTGCCTGTGCCCTGATCGACAAATTATTCTGATGGTACTGTGCTTTGATGTACTTGGGTATAAGGGTATATCTCGAGCATGTGTTCTGAAGTCTAAGCTAGAATTTCTTTCGGGGTTTTAGATCGAAGCTTTCAGGGGCAACAATCGTGACGTGGGGTTCTAGGCCTGGGTTTAAGGTTTAGAGTAGTGGTTCAAAGTTTAGGGGTGTAGGAGTGTAGGGTTTGAGGGGTTAGGGGGTTTAGGAGCTTGATGTGAAGTTCAAGTCCTTGTGACTGGGGGACCCAAAGCTTGGCCCCAACATCCTTTATTGAAGGCCTCGCCAGCCGCTGCAGCGCCCGTCTTCGCCGCTTTTGCCGATTTCTTCTCCGCATTGACAGCTGCCTTGGCCTCAGCGATGTCGGCCTTCATGTGATCAAGATCAGCCTTCGTAGGCGTCTCAGCTGTGCTAAGCTCGCTTGCACTGGTCATAGCACGGCGGAAGGGATGAGGATTCGCGGGGGCAGTAGAAGCACCACCAGGTTTACCAAACATCCCTGGGTACAACGTCCTTGGGGTCGGGAGTTTCTTCTCCTCCTGGGATGGTGTCGATGGCGCAGAGGCTTCCGTGGATGCACGTGTGGAAACCGAGGGGGGCGTCTCTTTCAGCACGTCAGCAGAAGTAGCCTGGGATTGGGCACGGATCGGAGTCACCAACTGCGGGGCTGGGTCCTCGCTGAGGAAGGAGACCAAGTCGACACCGAAGTCCATGGAATCCATTCTGATTCACAAAGCAAAGCACACCGACTCAAGTAGTCGGCCACCAAAAACCTTGAGCCTTTTTCATCGGTCGTCATCAAGCATGAATCAATGAAGCTGAGCAGCACTCGTGTGTCCAAAGCAGCAAGCAGTCAGTGACGACAAGCATACAACAGAAACCCCGGGGTCCTCCATTCTCCATCAGCTTCTGAACTTTCGTTGCGGGCATGAAGGTTGCTCGGTCGTGGCCGATGATGAAGTTCTTTTTCTCCAAGGTCACCGTCTCCAGGGCAACCTAGAGCAAGCGCCTAAACCCTAAACCTTGACCCCTTAAGCCTAAGCTCACTCCAGAGGACTACTTGTTGATCTGATTCATTCACTGCTGGGGCTGACACAACGAAAAGCTTGTGCTGCTGTTCGGGCACGATGTTCGATGCCGCCTCCTGCCCTTTTGGGACAGCATGCACGATCTTGAGCTGCGTAGTCGGGACCCGGCCGGGCACAGTCAAAACCACCTCGTACATCTCCTCCAGCTGACCCACGGTCGATGGCTCCGCTGCCCAGGCAGAAGCCGTTGCCGCTGCTGCATCGATGGGAGGCTCGTCGGGTCGCGGGGCAGGCGGCACTATAGCCGGAGTAGAAGGCGACGTCGTAGAGGAGGAGGTAGCAAACCTGGGTTGGGGTGCACTCGGGATGTAGGATAATATTTTTTGGGGGGCTCAAGTAAGGTTTCTATGGAAGTTTACGGATTCTGGGTTCAGGGGTATTAAGTATTTAAGGCTTTACATGATCGACTTTAGGGTTTCGGGTCCACGGTAAGTTTGTGGGTGGTTATCTACTGAGGACTGCTCTTTGGGCAAGGGGCCTGGCCAGGCACTTCGGGATTTCTGTGGGTTTTAAGGGGTCTGGGGCTTTAAGGTTTTACGACTTTAGGGGAAGTTAAGGTTTCAAGGAAAGTTATGTTCACGAAAGGAGATAGCTTCTTGCTGTTGCTTGGGTAAGGGACCTGGCATCGAACTTGGAAAGCTCCGCCAACCATTCATCTTTTCGCACGGGGTCGTCCATCCATTTGCCACGTAGCGTGCTGTTGAGATGAATCTTCTTCTCACCGGTGGCGGCATCCGTGCTCATCTCACAGACGAGCAGCTCTGGAGGAGAAACTTCATCAGTTTCATCTTCCATCTCCGGGCTGTATTTCGGGACCGTGTTGCCGAGGGGATGGGAACCGCTCCTCCAATCCTGCAGGCTATCTTAAAGAATATTCATAATATATATATATATATATATATATATATACATATATATATATATATGAGAGAGACACCTCTAGGGTATATTTAGCGCCTTGCTTCCTCTAGATATTTCAATATTT